CAACACTAATGCCTCATAAAATGCCTCAATCTTCTTTCCTTCCTTCCTTCCATTTGCTTGCCTACCAGGCTGTTCTACAATTTTAGTTCTGAGCCAATGCATATTCTAAGTGTATATTAGAAGTTAAATAAGGAAATTTTGAAATCATCAGTGTTTTTCATGGCCATGATGCAGTGGTCAGTTTGCCTAATACAACATTTACTCAAAAGAAAGACAATCCCAATTTTAAAATGGTCATCAAAAAAGGAAGATTAGAGAAAAAAAATTATAAGTCCGCATAAAAGTCATGTGCAATACCTAACTTTCCTGTCAATTCAAGATAAAACCAATCCTGTAGATTTTTCCCTCAATAAATGATTGCATGTAACATTTTTGTTCATGTATTTGCACATAGTATTTATGTATATACATGTTGGCCAGAGGCCACTCTCAAAAAAAGGAAGACCAGGGGGAAAAAACCCACCAAAGGAGAGAAGGAAAGGGAAATAGGGATAAGTGACATGAATGTGATGAGACTAGACAGGAAATAAAGGACCCTGCAGAAGGCTTAACAGGCTTTTATGTTGGGATCAGCACACAGTCATGCTGTAGTAAGTCCTAGTGAGTTCAACATCTCTTCCTGCCAGGTAAGTATGCTTAGGTTTCTAATCCTGCTCAGTCATTATGCCATAATATACTTCTGTTCAAGTGGAAGGCAAACAAGAGCATTGATCCCTCTTGTTACCTTACTGTGTAGATGGTCTGCAATGGGGCAGAAAAGGAAAGAAGTTGCAATGGACTTCATAAAGAGGAGGGGCTTCATCTGCACATTCATGCATATTTTAGAGACCTCACTCTCAGTGAGACTCTATTCAATGGATATAAGATTATTCTTATATTTAAAAAGTAAGTATTTGGTGGGAAATCTTCATCTTCCTTTCGGGTAAACACTTGTCTTCCTATTGGGTAAATACAGTAATATATTTTGACACTGTTATGGGATGTCATTCAAAACAGTCTTACAGGTATATGCCGCTGAGGACAATACAAATTGAAGATCTATTATACTTTTGTATTTAAGTTTCAGTATAACCAAACTGAAACTAGCCGAAAACCTTTGAATTCAATTCAAGAGCTAATAAGCAAACAACTAGTCATTAAAAGTCTAGCGTTAAAAAATGCTTTGAGCCATTTCAGCCCATTCCACACAGCATCCTTTAACTGCAGCTTCTCTGAGGCAATTCTGAACTCATTATTGTAAGTCCCTAATACAATGCATGCAAAAGCAATCTCTCCAGAGATTAACAGGCAGGCAAATAAGTGGGACCAAACATCAGAACATTTTCTTTATGGCACTGGAAAATTGTAACAACCAGAATGTTTTGTTGGAGAAAATTATTCACTACATGCTGAAGTGTCTTTTTTTTCTTCTTCTTCTGGGTATTACAGCATATATAAATAAAAAGCAACTATAAATGCTATTATATAACTTGTGCTTCATATTTAGTGACAATTCCTTCTTTGGTATTTTTCAATAGCCACAAAAGAAATGGTCAGCTAATCTCAGTCTCTCCAGCTTCATATAGATTTCCATAGACCGGCCTGCATGCTGGAAATTGTTGTTGTTATTATTATTTAAACCTGTATGGTGCCTGACTCCCAATGACTCTGGAATGTATGCTAACATATCTAGAGAGGTTCGTAGAAACTAAGATGCTTTAACCATGAAAATAAAATAATTCATGTACATATGTAATAAATTTTACTTACTGTGTATTTATGAATTACAATTTTAAGTGGTACAGAGAAACTCCTAAGTGGAAATTGTTTCTAGATAGCCAAAGTTCTAATCAAGGCATTACAAATGCCTTATATATGAAATATAGAGGGATTGTCATCTTTTATTGTAAATTGGGCAGTGATACACATTTCTCTCTGCTTTCACTTCTCACTTTTTCTCACATCTGATTAAGGAGAATAGTCCAGAGTTCAAAATTAATGAAAACGGCTTTCGAGAGATATTAGTCAACCCATAACACATCAGGGACAAGCAAGCTGCTTTTCTTTCATTTTCATTTAGGTGCAAATAAATAAATACAGGCAGGGCCAGCTTTAGACTAAGACCAGTTAGGCATTGGCCCAGGACACCAAAGCTTAGAGGGTGCCAACACTGCCCCTCCTTCTGAGTCATTCTAAAAATGCAAATCTTCACATTAGCAGGAGGTAGCACCATCAGTCATTGTGGCCCAGGGGTGCCAGGTATCCTTAAGGTGGCACTGGATCCAGATAGATGAATCTAAGTTGCTAGCTATATGGGAAGAATCAATAGAAGTGAATATGTGTAGCTCAGGGTTGAACTGTGGAGTCCTTGGGGTTCTCTGAGCTTGGTTGTTTTCTTGTTACCTAGCTGGGTAATGAAATGTTTACATCTTCAGTGCTAAAATGGAATGTGGTTTACTCTCTGTTTATATACTGTGGCATGCCCTGCCAGTGTTGGGGGGGGGGGTTGTTTTGTTTTATTT